TCACTCTCCACTCTCTGAGGTAACCTCTCTTACAAATTTGGTGTGTCCTTCTAGATCACTTTCAATGTTTTCAGATACATATACTGTAATAGGTACTATAGAAAATGTGTGGTACTGGTGTATTTTTTATATAAATAGTATTAAGTTGCATGCATATTTATCATCTAGTTTCTGTTTTCTATTTTAACTCAACTATCTATGAGAACTGCCTATGTGAATTCATTCCCCTTAACTGCCATACGGCATCACATTTAATTTAGCCATTTCCCTATTAATAAGCAGGTAAGGGCCTGGCTATTCTCTCGGAATCTATTGAAGAAATGGGGGGAGGAGACACATCCCATGACACCGCTGTGCCAGGGAAAAGAAATCTTCTCAAAGAAAAGAGTGGGTCATGGTTCTCAAAAGAGGAAAGCAGGTCCAATTCCTGGTGCCTGCAGAAAGATCACCAGATCTTTCCCCGCGCTTAACATTCAGCCACATATCCAAACATTCCACAAAGATTTACTGAGTATTACCACGTGCCAGGCATCATGCTAAACTCTGAAGATCTGGCATGCAACGTGTATTGTAATTTACAATGCACAAAAGGCTGGAGATATACTGACCTATGATTTCCAGGTTAACCTATCGGGGTATGCTTAGTTAATTTTTTGCCTCAGCTGTAACAGTGATTTCTGAAAAGCTTCAAAGAAATACAAGAAATCATAAGGCAACCATATGTTTTATTTATTCTCAATGAAAGTGTATTTCAGTGTAGGAAAAAAATCTGAGTTTCCAGTTTGTTCTTAATAATTTACAAATGGGACTTAGTAATACCTAAAATCACTTTCAGTTTTAAGTCTAGAATACAGGATACTTGCAATTGGGCTCTTTTACCAGTAGGTGTTGCTATTGACAACACAAAAGTTAAAAGCAAGGACTTCGCATTACAGTACTGTTTGAAGGAACACTACAGCATTTAAGAATAAAAATGTGAAAGCACTTTTACAGACAAGCCCTATAAAAGGACCTATGTGCATATTTAAGTATCTCAGTGCCATGGGCACAATAGTAGTTAAGTACTGCCTATATCCTTCTAGAACAACCCTAAGCAACTTACTGGCCAGCAGTATAAGGGAGGAATCAAAGGGTCTTAGAATTGGGAGGGATCTTATTTGTCCATCAGTTTTCAAATCCCCATTCCCTGGAGTTAGAAATATATTTACATTACCACCTAGTATGCACGTGTGCAAATACACACATACCCATATAAACAGATGTGTAAATATATCTGAAACCAAAGTTTCAGAAAACAATAATATCTTTACCATGCGCTTTTCCCCCATGTATTTGTAAAATAATAGAAAATACACATACTGGTCTCTGCCCTCTGCCCCCAGTTCCTGGTACAGAGCTCCTAAAAACCTTATCATTTCCTAAATGATGAGAGCATGAGGAGCAGCTCTTCTAATATCTGGCCTTTGATTCTGGTTCCTGACACAGAGCTCCTAAATCCCTTGGAATTTCCTGGGTGATGGGAGTGTCTTTTACTCTAAGCAGGTAACTCTTGGTGGGCTCTTGAATAGCTTCAGGATGGGGGCTGGTCACCAGAAAGACCTAGCTCTGATTAGAAGCTTCGGACTTTCAGCCCTGTCCCTCATCCTCCAGGAAGAGTTAATGAGCATTCATGCCTATGTGATGACACTTCCATAAAATCCCCAAAGTCTGGGGTGCCTGGGTGCCTCAGTAGGTTAAAGCCTCTGCCTTCAGCTTAGGTCCTGATCCCAGGGTCCTAGGATCGAGCCCCGCATCGCATGGGGCTCTCTGCTCAACAGGGAGCCTGCTTCCTCCTCTCTCTCTGCCTGCCTCTCTGCCTACTTGTGATCTCTCTCTCTCTGTCAAATAAATAAATAAAATCTTAAAAAAAAAAAATCCCCAAAGTCTGAGGTTCAGAGAGCTTCCAGGCTGGTGAACACATGTATATGCCAGGAGGGTAGTGGATCCCAACTCCATGGGGACAGAAGCTCCTGTACTTGGGACCCTCTGGATCTTGCCCTGTGTAGCTCTTCATCCGGGTATCCATTCATCTGTGTTCTTTGCATATCCTTTGTTATATAAGAAACTGGTAAACATAAGTGTTTCCCTAAATGCTATGAGTCATTCTAGCAAATTACTGAACCCAAGGAGGGGTCATGGTAATGCTGGTTTATAATTGGTCAGTTAGAAATACAGCTCACAACCTGGGACTTGTGACTGGAGTCTTAAAGTGGGCCAGTCTTGTGGGACTTAAGTCTTAACTTACAGGATTTGATCCTACCTTCAGATTGATAGTGTCAGAACTGAACTGAATTGTAGGACCCCAGCTGGTACTGCAGAATTGTTTGTTGTATCAAAAACCCACACATCTAGAGTCAGAAATGTTGTGAGTGTAGTAGTGTGAGAATAAAGAAGACATGCAGGGAGTGTTTCCCAGACATATCCTATTTCATAAAAACATATATATAGGTCATAAAGTAGTAACTGGATTTTACATGATCTAATACACTTCCTTCCATTTAATACATTCAGAAAGAGAGGCTCAGAGAGGTGGAGTGACTTGCCCCAGGTAACATAGCCAAGACTCAGGCTTTTCAGGACACTGGCAGTTTTGTTTTGGAAGATCCTGGGCAAAAACTGAAAAATGTCCTTGGCATACTCCCAGCACTTCCCCCACTCCTACCTTCTAAAGCCTGTGGGCCAGAACCTGCTGGTGAAAAAACTGACAAAGTACATGTGTGGTTAGTTATATGCAATTGTCATTTTAAAGATACAGGATCTTTCTAAAATGCAAATGTGATTACTTCACCTCCTCTACTTGAATTCTCAGTGGCTCTTTCTGGTTTTCAGACCAAATACAAATTCGCAGCGTGGCAATCGATCTCCTCCAGACTGCTAGCCAATCTCACTAGTTCTGCTAGCCAGCCTCACTCCTGACCATTTCCCCATGCATTTTCAAGGGCTTTCCTGCATTCTTGACCTAGCTAAATCCTAAGCTTGTCACGACTCCACTCACATTTCTCTTCTACGAACCTTCCCACGTGCTTGCTTTGCACACCTTTGCCACAGCACACAACCTTCTGTCCCTGAATCTTCTTGTCTGTCTTTTCCAGTGGACTAGGGGCATTCTTAGGAGCCAGGGTCATGTCTTTCTGCTTATCATCCCTGGCAGCTAGCCTAGGACTCAGTATATAAGAGGAACTCAATAGGTATCTGCTGGAGTGAGTATTTGTATATTCTTACTCTCACATTTTAATCGTAAAAAAATAAAAACCCCAACACACTGGAATACCAGCTCTCTGAATTATGTAAGAGCTGGTTGTGACAATGCAGACCTCCATTTTCTCATATCTTCAGAGTATGAAGAAGAACTATACCTATCTTAGGAAAAATGGATGCAAAAACCCAGTTTTAGCGTCTTTTTTTTTTCTCTTTATCTAATACATCTGTGTTAGGAGGATGGTTAGTTTTGTTTTTTAACTCCCAGTCTGTAAGCTAGTACTGAATGGTTAACACAGCTTCTCGCCCACCCAGTCGAATTCCTGGACTGACAGCCTTTCCCAGATCACTTACGAGGGGCAGGCAGCAACTCTTCTCTGCATGCCACCTCACAACATACCAAAAAAAAAAAAAAGAAGAAGAAGAAGAAGAAGTGGGTAAGTTACTTATTATCCATCATTAAGGTGTGGGAAAGAAATCAGAGTGAAAGAGAGACAATTAAATGTTGATATGACTAAGTATAGTAAGTAACGAAGGGGCAGGTAGACCAGTGGTGGCTGTGGTAGTCAGAGATGGCTTTGTAAGAGTGCATTCTATAGAGTAGGTTGGGAATCGAGTAGAGAGATGGAGAAGAAAGCATTTCCAGGTGCAAACCAGCATGAACAACCGTCAGATAAGGATGTGGAGCCCATGTGTGTCGGGAGGAATCAAGCCTGAAATGAGCTCGGAGGGTATGCTGACGCTAAAAAGGAGCAAGGGGCCAATTATCCCTCATCCCTCTTCCTCCATGTGCCATTGTGCTGGTTATGAAGCGCATTCAGGTTGACTTTCCATTTTGGTCTCCTCCTTGCTCTTTTTAGGTGGGTGGGATGGGTATTAAGGGACCCTTTAAACATAGAAATGGTAAAAGACGAAGATGAGGACAATTAGCCCAAGTCACACAGCTGGCAGCTAACCAAACTCACAGTCTAGATCTCTACACTTGTATTTCACAGACCTGAGAATTGCAGTTGCACTCACAGATCACATGGCTGAGGACCAAAGAGGTGAAGGAAGTTTTCCAATGCTACAAAAAAGCAGAGTTTAGGATATTGGCTGGAAGCAGTTTTAACCAGCCTTATTTCTGCTTGAAGGGGTTTTGCATTATATTAACTGGAGAAGAAACCCAGAGGCAAAAGCCTCATATTGCAGAGTAAGAACGTTACTTTGAGAAAACAAAATATTTTCTAATGTTTTATAACTGTTGGGATAACAGTCTGTTATACAGCTGCATTCTTAAAAATGGAAATTTTTATCAACCAAAAATTAAAATTTTTTGTTAAGTGGAAATATTCTGAAAAGGAAGAGAGTAGCCCGAGGAAAGGGATCTCTCTGGGGAGGGAGGTCTCTAGAATCTAGAAGAGCTTTTCAGAACTTTTTCTTGCTACTGATGAGTTTTAAGGTCTTCATCAATCAGAGGGGGAAAAATTAACTTAAAAACAACACCAACACCAACAAAAAACCTACACACTGTCCCTACAGCGACTGACTACTATCATCTCAGAATCTGTTAGCAAAGGATAACTACTATTTCCAGACAAGTACACCACCCAGACAACATATTATTATAATTTATTTAGTTTTTTGTTTTGTTTTGTTTTGTTTTGTTTTTACCCTAGGAATGACATGGTCTGAGAAATGACTTGCTGAGAGATCTGTGTTTACGTTAGGGAGAGTGGGGGTGGGGGTGGAAATCCCTGAAGAAGTTGAAAAGATGTTAAGTGGTAAATACCAAAATGCCCAGCAAGCATGTAAGCAGGCTCTCATCCCAGCATGAATATGTGCAGCTCAGCATTTTAAAATTTACTTTTAGCTTTTCTAGCAGTTTGAATTAACCCGTTCTCTACTTCGGCTCCCTGTGTGAGAGATCAGCCCCGAACCTACAGACTAAAAGCACAAGCACAGTCTTCTGCAATTGGCCAGCAGATAATCCCCTCTCCCCGACGACAGACCAACAGACCAACCGCTTGCTCTGAGCAGGCTGCCTTGCAGACACATCTCCTGAATATTCCTACCGACCAGGAGGCTCAGGGCAATGCCCAGTGTTAGGAAGTAAGTCCAGCTTGTTGGAGCTATACACAGAATTAGAAAAGGCCTGTTGGGAGACCCAAACAATATGAATAAATACCACACCAACAGTACATCCAGACCAGAGGTTCTCCAAAAGCAGGTGTGTCATAATCACTCCAAAGAGGCTGTTCCAGGAGGTTGACCCCAGCATTTGCAGTCATAAAAGATTCTCAGGTGACCCTGAAGTATATCCTGCATCAATAGACATGAATCTAGATTCTCTAAAGAGACAATTATATTTTTGTTTTAGTTTCAGCCCCTGGCAAGATAAAATGAAAAACAAAGCAAGCAACTCCAAATCAACAGTTCTAGATGAGGGACACAGCCTGTCGGCTACTGCAGAATTTGCTTCCAGTGGAAAAATAAATCCATGTCAAAATCTTGGTGAGTTGAACTACTGCATGGTATTTGTCCTATTAAAACCAGGGCTGGCCAGGTATGCTTTTGATGTTCTTCATGCTGCAATTTCTAGGTTCTTTGGCTCAATGGAAGAAAGTGAAGAACAAGAACAAAACAAAAGCTAAGAGAATAAAAGAAGGTTAACTGAACAGTAAAGACTTATTTCAAGAATAACAATTCTGAAATAAAATCATCCACTCCTGTAGTTGGGTGAGGTTATTATAGCAAAGTCCAATGCTTCCTAAATGCTTGGGCACAGGTTGGTCAGGAACCTAAACAAACAGTTCATATTCAGCCGTCATTATTAAAGATGAAAGAAGACTTAATATTTGATGGGGCCAGTAGTGACCCCAAGTGCAACAGAGACAACAGGATCTTTATAATAGCAAAACATTCAGCGCAGGCTTTCCTTTTTACCTTGTCAAGTGACACTTCATTCATCCTGAGAGGCAGTTCTGGCATAACTCAGAGGTAGATTTAGCCCAACAACTGGCCCTACAACGCTCAGCCATGACGTGATATAGTTGACACTCCTAGGAAACAAGTGAAAACACACGCAACTCTAATGTTGGATGAGTGGTGGAAAATCACCACGAACAGAAAAGACGAGCTGACTTCGAAGGTGTGTGCCCACCACGTGGAATCCCAGTCATTTCCAAATGTTAGCTCCATCGCCTGTCAAGGACTTGAGATCCAAAGAGACTGAGGTAGTTAAAGGAGGAGTCAAGGCATTAAGGCTCCTGACTCCTCTTGGTGATTCCAATTTGACAGTAAAAATTTACCACATTTGCTAAGGTAGCAGAGGGAGTGGTTAAGAACATGGTTCTGAGGCAAAAATGCCTGGGCTCAAATCCCAGTTCTACCCCTTAACAAGCTGTGTGAACTTGGCCAAGTCATTTAACCTCTCTGTGCTTTCGCTTTCTCCTCTGTAAACTGGGTAAAATAATGGAACTTAGCTCAGGGGTGTTATAAAAATCCAACATATTAATATATCTAAAATGCCTAGAATAGTGCCTAGCACACAGCGAAAATCAATAGCTGTTAACCATTACATTTATTACAAAAAATATTTCTTTTTTAGCTTAGCTTTTAGAGTCACATAAAAAGATTTACACTTTTAAAATAAGAGTAAAAGCCAATGTATCTTGATGGTGTTTCTTACCTATTGATTTTTCGAGAATTCTCTAACACAGGAGTCATGAATTCATTCGTCTTGCAGGGATGAAGTACAAAGAAGGGTTGTCCAAGCACTGGGTGCTCCTGTAGGAATCAGAGTTGGTCCAGGATAGCCGGTGTGAGTTACTTTGAAAAAGTTAAAACGCACAATCTGGTTTGTTAAAATAAACGTGTGTTTTAAATTCCAAGTTACTAAATTAAGATACAGATCAATTTCAGTTTTGAAATGTAATTCATAATCCAAACATGAGAAGAAGCTGGAGAGAAGGAGTTAGAAATTGATAAAGTAGTATAGTCAAGGACAGGAGGCCACACGGCTTTGTTTTACACAATACGAACTGTAGATCAATTTTATCCGTTCCCTTGAACTCTTTGTCAACTGGTGTTTCTCTTTGGCTTATAATTATTCTCCAGTTTTCCCTCAAGGATGTCTGTCAAGCCCAGAAGCCTGACCATTTGAACCACGCATTTCATTTGCCTCTTTGCAAGGGGACCAAAATCTTCCACATTTTTTTTTTTTTTTTTTTTTTTTTTTTTCAGAAACTAGGCCAACATGTTGATTGTTTTGAGCCTGACTGTACTGCAACAGGCATACTTTCGATTGGTAAATTGGCAGGGGGACGAGGCAGGAGAATGGCCTGCATTATTTAAATTGCTATACTTCTGTTTGTCTGTCTGTCTGTCTCTCTTCCTGAGTTTATCTGTTTCTATCCTTCTGTCTTTTCCAAGCTTATAAGGCAGTTTCTGGAAGTCAAAAGCCCATTCGATGGAATTCCACTGCCTCTGTAAGAGAACGACTAGATAGAAGTACAGGTCAGATGCAGCCAAGGTCGGGGAATGCACATCATTTGACAAACAACGGCGAGCCCTAGGAGGTTTCCATGTAGCAAGTTACTTCAAACAAATTGTACTGACGCTAAAGCAACTATTGACAATAAATTTATTGGTTGTTTACATTGTAGATTCACCATTATGCCAAAGACTGCAACTGCAAATACTACTATGGTCTAAATGTTTGCATTTCTCCAAATTCATATATTGAAATCCTAATGCCCAGGGTGACGGTCTTACAGGAGGTGGGGCTTTGGGAGGTGATTAGGTCAGGAGGGTAGAGCCCTCCGGAGTGAGATTTAGGACCTTATAAAAGAGACCCTCTAGGGGCACCTGGGTGGCTCAGTGAGTTAAGCCTCTGCCTTCGGCTCAGGTCATGATCCCAGGGTCCTGGGATTGAGCCCCACATTAGGCTCTCTGCTCAGCAGGGAGCCTGCTTCCCCTCTCTCTGCCTGCCTCTCTGCCTACTTGTGATCTCTGTCTGTCAAATAAATAAATAAAATCTTTAAAAATAAATAAACAAATAAATAAAATAAAATAAAAGACACCCTCTAAACGCTAGCTCACCCCTTTATGCCACGTGAGGACACAACAAGAAGTGTGCGACCTAAAAGAAGGCCTTCATGAGAACAGACTGGCACCCTGAGCTCAGACTTCAGAATTGTGAGGAATACATTTCTGTTGTTTATAAACTACCCAGTCGATGGTATTTTGTTATAGCTGCCCAAGCAGTCTAAGACAAATACCTACAGAGACTGCACAGGTGACCTGAAGGAGCAAGGTCAGTTGACTACACCAGCTGGTGACAGGGACTGTGGGGGCCTGGAGGGTGCTCCCAGCCAAGACTAGGCTTGCTACTCTGCTCCAGCCAATTGTGCCATGTGGGAACGCAGGTTCTGTGTGCCAGGTCTTCCCGTTTGTCAAAATAGCCTAGGAATCCAGATTTTTATGTAAAGCCTCCTAAATTTAAATTTTGGCACTTAAAAAAAAAAAAACCAACATAGACTGGGCCAAATAAAACAAGCCTGTTGGCTGGATTTGGACTAGGGGCCTAACTTCTTCTCTTGGCTTCTTCTCCTCTTCTCAGCCAGTCCAAGGAGGAGCTGAACTCAGAGCATCCCTGGAAAGAATTACGTGTGGTTGTTGCTGCTAACTCTGGCCTCGAACTCCAAAACACTCACGTCTGTGTGCATGTGCACAAACCTACTCACAGGAAATTGGAGGCACCTCCACTGTGTATTGGAGACACTGGGTGTGGAGGTTTGGGGGTGCCTGAGGATTGAGGACTGGGTGTAGGTCGGTGTAGGTCTCCCAAGTGCCACCACCTCCAGAGTCTGTCCAGTGGCCTGACTCTTACAGCAGAGCCTGGGCTCCCTCTTTTCTGCTCTTTCACTACCCCTCCCTCCCATCACTGAGCAGACCCTGAGGTCACACCCCAAATGTGTGATGCCTATAGCAAGTCCTTCTGTCCAGCTTGATTCTGGCTCCCCTTACCTGCCTTAAACTAGTATTTATTAATTCAGCACACCTCTACTGATCATCTCTTACGTGTCTGCCAGGAACAGTTCTGGATATGGTGACAGAGATCACTGTATCTCAGAGATAAACGAAGTCCCTGATCCCATGGAACTTACATGCCAGTGCAAGAGACAGCCAATAAATACACAGAACAAATAAAGAAACAAGATAATCCAAATAATAGTAAGTGCCATGAACAAAATAAGAAGGGTCCCTTGATTTTGAGAGTACTTGGAACCCAAAAGCTCCTTCTTGTTGTTAAATAAATCTTTTTAAGTATGTTGTTCATCATGACCACTCTTCTAGCAATGTGTCAAAAACATCCATAATCACTTCCATGGTTAAACTGTATATGGCCAACACCCAACACTTTCTCAAATGCAACAGCTTCTCTTAGTTATGGCAAATTAACCAAACCATTAATTGCTTTTCAAATACTGGTGGAAAATTAATTTTAAAAGTACCCCCAAATCCTTGTTTCTAAATATGTAAGACTACTGAATACCTTAAGACATAATCACCTTAGTTATTATGAATGTAATAATCATTATATAATGTAGAAAAATAGTTTCCCTGATGTGATTAGAATTCATATATTCCCTTATTCACTTAGCAAATATTGTCTTCTTGCCTGATAATTTTATAATGACTTAACCCTAACTCAAGGCAAAAGGATCCATAGTTTAAAAATGTGATTAATCTTAGAGATATCCTAATGCTGCAGAAGTGAGAGAATTCAAAGTTAGCCTTATGACCTGAGCCAATACTCTGCTTTCAGTCACATTCAATCCACTACTTCTGCAAGTCAGGCAATTTGTATTCAAGGCAAGGTAGAGAATTTACAAATAATTCAAGCCATCTGATCAGTGTAGACAATCAATCTGGATAATATTCTCCAAAAGCCATTTTTCTACAATGGAGATTAAGGCTCATGCTATCTGGAAAGATTATCTGGATTTTCTACTTTCTCCCTCAGACAGCCAGAATCAGAGATGAAAGCTGTCTTTCATTTTTAGTTTGGGAATTATGTGCAGGAGTTCAAAAAAAAAAAAAATCTAAAATCCTACACCTTATTTGTTTAACATACCATTTTCAGAAATGGAAGAACATCAAAACTGTCGGGATCTTTTTAGTGACATTTCTTAGATCAATTCAGAAGGTAAATTTGTGTGAAAGTGCTACCATCTGCTGTCAGTACTAATGAACTGATGCAAATCTGCACTGAGAAAAATGTCAGTGTGGAAATACATGCAGCCAATGAACTGTGTTAGGCTTACAACTCAATAAACACTTCTACTGGAACAAAGTTCTGCTAAATGGTTTTCCGTGAAAATAGAAATGATGGGTCAGATTTCTATCTCTGTAACTCCAGAGGAGTTATATAGGCACATTCTCCTATGAAATTTAATTTAGCAATGGTTAAATGTCTCATAAAATAAGTCTGACATGAATACTGTGAATTGGTTTCAGAACTATTAGATATGACTATCACAAGGAAATGATAATACTGCACCTTCATTCTTACATCTAATAAAGGGGATGAATTTCTTGGTTCGTTTCTTAATTTTCCTGGCTCTCCAGGAGGGCACAAACATAATTTCACATACTGAGCTTTCATCCAGCTTCATATTCCAGACTGATCAAATTTGCCTTCCATTCAGGGTACATTCCTTAGAAATGGAGAGGATATTTCCTAAGCCCGCTTCCTCCAGCAGGGAAAGGAACACAGCTATTGAACAGTTACAGAATGAGACGCTGTACTAAATGCTTTGCATGGGGTCACCTATCCGAGTAATTCTTTGAGGAAGGCTTTCTTTTTGCCACTTTGGGGAATGGGTTCAAAGGGATTACGTTTAAAGTCACCCATGGAGTGAGAGGTGAAGCACTTCCAAAGTCCAGTCTTACATGGCACCCCCTTCCCCCACTGACCGGAGGGGGCAGCAAGGATGTTTAATCCTCTCTAGTCCACCTCTTCCAAAATCTATTTGTTCTTATTTTAAAATAATGTGCTTTCATAAAATTATAAGAGCAATACATTTTCTGAGAGAGCTCAGAAAATACAGAAAACAGCAGAGTAAAAGCAAGATAACCTAAAACTGCCCAACTCAGATTTAACCACTATTTGGTGAATTTCAAACTTTATCATGGGCCCACATGTAGTTTTCTATTGCTTTTTATTCATTGAACAGATAGATGTTTCTTGAGAGCCAACTACATGCCACTCCCTGCCATACGTTTTTTTGTTGGTGTTTGTGAAATTTCTTTGTCTTCTGTTTTACAGACTTCTGTACTTATTTCTATTTTTTGCCCTACATATATTTTGTTTGGATTTATTTTGTTGTTCTTAATTTTTAAATGTTCCATGGGTGCTTAAGAATTACATATGAAGAATATGGAACCCTGAGTTGTTGCCTGTAGTGCTCTCCAGGTATTACTAGATCAAGCTGGGTTATTGTGTTACCAACGTTTTCTAGACTCTGATCCATTTGATCTACAAATTTTCAAGGAAGTTCAGATCTCCCCTGTAATAGCGGATCCGTCCACTTCTGCTTGTGGTTTGTCAATTTTTGCTTTATATATCCTGAAGCTGCTTTATTTAAATGCATATATTTTCCTAGGGAATGAAGCTTTAATACAAAGTGATCATACTTATCTCTGATTATGCGTTCTGCCCTCCAAAAAGAACTTTTGGTAAAAATATAGCCATATCAACTTTCCATTTACCTTATGCATTT